AGATCCGCCATTTTGAATTTTGGAAAACTAATAGCAGATTCATAATTAGCGACCCCAAAAACCCTCAAGTAACAAGTTTCAAGCGAATCCGAAAATTATTTTATTTTGTCAGCCGCAATATTGGATCCGCTATTTTGAATTTTTAAAAACTAATGGATTCGTAATCAGTGACCCCAAAAACCCCCGAGTAACCATTTTCAATAGAATTTAGCCAATTTTTAATTTTGACTTTAAAACATTTTACAGTTTTTTCACAGTGTCTTAGCAATGAAATATTTACTAATTTTTAACAATTTGACATTTTTATCTTGATAATATACAGTGCCGCTCAATAACTTTTGCCCACCCTACAGCGATTGAAGGCTTTACAAAAAGTTTTGTATTTTGTTTATTATTATAGATAAAAAGCTCAAAAAGGTCTCTTTTTAAAGCTCTTTTCCTAAGCTTTAACACTGTATAAAACAAAAATTAAAAAAATTAATTTGTTAATGTTTAAAAAATGTTATTGCAACACAAAATTTTTCGTTTTTTTCGTTTTTTTAAAGTGATACAGTTTTATAGGAAATGGTCGCATTTTAATCAAACACATATTTTCTGAAAGCTAGTTTTATCACCTTTAAAATGCATTTTTTAAAATATTTATACGATAATTTTTAAGAAAAATATGATTTTTTGTTTATAAAATTAGCCATTTTTTTGCAATTGTTGATAACTCAAAAACGGTTACTTAAGGAAAAAATTATTTAGAACCTAAATTGTTCCTTTTTGTGTGCAAAATTAAAAAAAAATATTAAAATTTTTTTTTTTTACTATTTTGATTTTTTAAAAAAAAATTTTTTTTTTTTAACTTTTTATATTTTTATGTTTTAATTGTAAAAACTCGCTTTTTACACTCACTACAACAAGCAAGAAAATTTTTCATTGTATTTATTTAATTTTTTTCAATAATTTTAACTCACCAATCATTTAAATAACTTTTGATATAATACTTATTTATTATATTGTTTGTAAACGGATTAAAGGTTCTTAATTACTTTGACGATTGTCATCATAATGTCAGTCTTGTGAAAATTGTCACATGTGAGTGTAAAAAGCGAGTTTCTACAATTAAAACATAAAAATATAAAAAAAAAAAAAATTTTCAAAAAAAAATTTTTAATATTTTTTTTCTAATTCTGCACACAAAAAGGAACAATTTACGTTCTTAAAAATTTTTTCCTAAAGTAACCGTTTTTGAGTTATCAACAATTGCAAAAAATGGCTAATTTTTTAAACAAAAAATCATATTTTTCTTAAAAATTATCGTATAAAAATTTTAAAAAATGCATTTTAAAGGTGATAAAACTAGCTTTCAGAAAATATGTGTTTGATTAAAATGCGACCATTTCCTATGAAACTGTATCATTTAAAAAAAATCGAAAAAAACGAAAAAATTTTATGTTGCAATAACATTTTTTAAACATTAACAAATTAATTTTTTAATTTTTGTTTTATACAGTGTTAAAGCTCAGGAAAAGAGCTTTAAAAAGAGATCTTTTTGAGCTTTCTATCCTAAATAATAAACAAAATACAAAAATTTTTGTAAAGCCTTCAATCGCTGTAGGGTGGGCAAAAGTTATTGAGCGGCACTGTATTTTTCGAATAGTGGTTTCACAAATTTCGGCATAAAAGTTTATAATTTGTTAATTTAAAATGTAAATATTGCATCTAAATAGGTGGTACACTGGTGTACCACTGTGCTAAAGTAACTCGGGGGTTTTTGGGGTCGCTGATTACGAATATGAACTTTATTTCCAAAAATTCAAAATGGCGGACGAATTTTTTATAATTGATCAAATTCACTTGAAACTTGTTACTCGGGGGTTTTTGGGGTCGCTGATTCTAAATCCGATTATAGTTTTAAAAAAATTATAATTTTCGAATCTCTTGGCGGACAGCAAAATTGAAAAACTTATCTAATTGGTGCCCGGTGTTGTTTATGCACATAATTAGAAATATATCAAGTGTATATCTTGCAGGCGATACATACATACACATTTTGACAAAGTAAACTCTCTATTAAGTACACTACCGTCCACGAGTATCAGGACGATTACACGCGACTCTATAAAAAAACATGCCATCACTTTTTCAATCAAAACTGGGACAGATTTATGCGGGAGAACGATGAACTTTCGACTTTCTTTATATTACACGTAAAACATCATTATTTATTATTCCTCAGCATAAATCCGTCCCTGTTTTTTCTCTCATTCGCAGCCACGCGAAGCTAAAATCGAGTCGTCACAGTTAAATTCCAATGCACCAATCGTCGAAACTCGGCTTCACATTTTTAATGATATATGGAAGACGGATTAACCTTTTTTAAATTTCGAAGGTTTATTTTAAAGCTGAAATTCTAGCAAAGATTTCTGTGTTTTTAGAAAAATGTTATCTAAATTTTTCTAGATTTTTGAAAAAGTTGAAGTCAAGAAACAAAAATTAGAAAATTTGATAATTTTTGATATTTCCTTCTCACTCTACAACTCAAGAAATAGTTAACAAAATGACTTTAAAGACAGCTTATTTTACGCAAAATTTAATCAGCTTTCTAACCGTATTTAAGTTTTTTTGTACCTCCTTTTATTTCCGAGATATGATTGATAAAGTAAGGGCATGTTTTTTCACAGAGTCGCTTGTAGTCGTCCTGATACTCGTGGACGGTAGTGTATATTACTGTATACAAAGTATATTCAATGCGATCTTACACATGCACTTCAATAATATGTATAAATTTAGAAGTATGCTGAAACTAGAGACCTTCTTTTTAGTAATGGACTTACCTTTGCCGTGGTCTACAAATGGCAATTGCAAAATGTGCATATACGTATCGCCTACTTGATATCTTTCTAATTATGTGCATAAACAACACCGGGAACCAGTTAGATGAGTTTTTCAATTTTGCTGTCCGCCAAGAGATTTGAATTTAAAACTTTTTTAAAACTATCATCGGATTAGTAATCAGCGACCCCAAAAACCCCCGAGTAACAAGTTTCAAATGAATTTAATCAATTTTTAAAAATTCGTCCGCCATATTGAATCCGACATTTTGAATTTTGAAAAATGAATTTCATATTCGTTATCAGCGACCCCATAAACCCCCAAGTGTTGTGTTTTAAGTAAATTCCATGAATTTTTGTAAAACTCGTCCGCCATATTAAAATTTTGCAAATAAAGTTGATATTCGTAATCAGCGACACCAAAAACAGACAAGTAACAAAATTCAGGCGAATCCATTGACTTTTGGACAATATGAAGAATATTGCCCAAAGTTTTCAAATTTTACTTTAGATTTGACGCCATATTGGTCCGCCATCTTGAAATTTTAAATTCTACTTTACTTTTCTCGAAAGTGTATAATTTTTAAGCATCGATGGTTGAAAATAGAATCTTATTCTTACACTTTTTCGAGGTAAAAAAAATGTCAAACTTGAAAACATGAATTTTTTTGTGTTTTTTGACATTAAAACCGCCATATTTATTTTTAGTTTAGACAAAATTTATTTTTCACATCGGAATTGGAAACAGCACATCCAAATTCTTTGTAAAATGGACCTCTGGTATAAATTGTCAACCGTTTTATTTATAATTACGTAGCTTGAAAATGACCAAAGAATTTTCACGAGTTGGGCGTTAATGGGTTAAGATATTCTAGGACATCTAAATTTCCGGATGTGCCTAGAACGACCATAAGATGTCCTTGAATATACGTTGCTGTTAGGAACGTGATTTCTGGAAGATTTATCCCCACTTTGCTCAAAATAATGACGTGATGGGAGGTTTTCGTTGCCAGATTCGGATTTAAAGTAGCAAAAACTACGGGAAATAAATTGTCAATCTTAAACAGCGTACAACAAATTTTTTTGCAAGCTTTTATAATTTATGATTAATAGTTAATTACTTCCATTAATAAATAAATTTATTTTTATTTCACTTGAATTTTTAGACATCAAAACCACAAAAAATTTTTTGTTTTATTATTAATCAGCAAAGAATAAAAGTATTTTACACTGAAAGAAGTTCGGGGCTTTAGACTCCCTGAAAAAGTATTAATGACGGTTCGGTACGATGCATTAGGGCCGTGAGATCATCTGAATCAAGAAGACTAAAAACAGGAGGTCTAACTTAGTAGTGGGGGTAATGTAAGGGAAGTGGGGCAATGAGTCGGTTGGACTTTGCGCGGTGAACAAATTTTATCCTTCTGCACATAAATAAACAATATATATCACGTAGTTAATTTTTGTATTTTTGAGTACTTTACTTTTATTTATATAATCTGTTGTGATATAAATATTATTTTAAACAGTTCTATCAAGAACGAAATATTCTTGAATTTTACACAACTTTCTCACTTTTCATCAATATTTTCTAAACATAAAACGCATAACCTATAAATACACAACAGACGTGTATGGCTGTTTTCGGCACTCACCCAGGGTTAACCCCGAGTTAAATATTATCCAATCATCAAAAACATTCTGTTGGTCTAACCAATCACCATTAACCCGGAGTTAACTCGGGGCGAGTGCCGAAAACAGCCTATGTCAGATGTACCAACTTCACGCTGCTGTGCAGAAGAATCAAATTGGTCTACCGCGCAACGACCCAAACTGAAAACTCGACTGTCTCTAGGCCCCACCATTTTTATTCCCACTGCACATAGAAATCAAGCGAAGTTTGACCTCCTGTTTCTAGTCTTCTTGATCTGAATATCAGACAGCGAAGACAGCTTTAGCGCCTGTAGCAGAAGAGAACAGAGCAACGTCTGTCAGAACGTCTAAAGTCCCGAACTTCTCTCAGTGTATCTTGAAGTTAAATATTTTTATTTTCAGAGGATATTTGCAAATTTTTTGTTCCTTATACAAGATTTCTTTTTTTGGGTGCATAAATCCCATGGAATTTCCAGGGGATACTTCAGTTGAGTTTTCCCACATCCTCATCAAAACTTTCTTTTTGTTAAGGAATTCAGTGCCACATGTGGAATGAATGAGACCTACTTAGATAAACCCTTTGTCTTTAGACTCAGTGAGAATGGTTTAGGACCAAATCTTCTTGTCCAGGTAATATGAAAATTTTTTGTTGTTTATTAACTTTTTTGAATCTTACTGTTACTGTAAAATGTTACTGTACACGGAAAAAATTTGTTCTGCGAAAAGTAGCTGCAACTATGTATATCTAAAAATGTCGAGAAGTAGTTCAAAACTTTGCACGGTGGGCTTGAACCAACATTAAATAAAAAGCCTTGCGAAATGGGATTTTTTTGTGGATTCCAACACTAAAGATCTCCCTGAGTATTTTGCAACAAAAATTAAAATAATCCATCGGGCCGTTTTTGAAAAAAGTAATTTTTAGTATTCCCATCGTGAACTCTGTATACAAGCACTTAAAAAAAGGTACAAAATTAAATTTAATTTCAATTTTATGAGTGTACAATAGTATTTTAGATAGCAGAATCTGAATTTGATGTTGGATTTAAGAATTTCAAAATGGCGGATCCAATATGGCGACCAAAAAGTTTAAAAATTGTTTAGATCTACTTGGGCCTCAAACTTGAGGGTTTTCGGGGTCACTAAATCTGACTTCAATGGTAGGTTTTAAAAATTAAAAATTGCGAATACAATATGGCGACCAAAAAGTTTAAAAATTGTTCAGATTTGCTTCGGAGCTTTTGGTTTCGCTGAATCTAAATCCGAATTTGAAAGAATTACTTCTTTTAAAAAAAGGAAATAGACAAATAAGATTATATAAATAATGACATCACTTACAATTAAAATTAACACTTATTTACACATTATAGCACTGTAATAATTAATCAATGAAAACTGCTTTGATTAATCCTTGGACGGGAAAGCGGGGTCCATTAGACAATGCAAGTATCTATTTTTTTTTAATTTTTCCGAATCCGTATGAAAAAATGAGTTCATCCTAGAAATTCTGTTAAATAGACTAAAAGTACAACCGAATATTCTGAATATTTTTACAGTTTTCATATTCCAACTGCAAATAATGTCACACTGGTGTTAAAACATTTTACCGGCACGAACTGGCAAGCATGGTCCAGAGGACCCCACAATGTCATAAGAATAAAAATTGTACTAATTGTGCTATATACAAATAACAAAATAGTGTTTTTCTTTCAAGAAATTTGCGCCTACACAAATTAATCCTGCCTTGCACTCAGAACGGTGTGTGTATTTTCCAGGATACTTCGCAAATCTAACAGTTCGTTAAATTTAAGCGTTTTTAAAGCGGGATCCAATGGACCCCACTTTCCCGCTAACGTAATTTTTTTAGCTTGCCCACCCAAGGGTTAAAAAATATTTCAACAATAGAGACTATAAAATCCACATACCATTTTAAAAATTTTGTTTACCATATTGGATCTACCATTTCTAATTTTTAAAAACTGGCATTGGATTCAGATTTAGCGACCCCAAAAACCCCCAAGTATTGAGTTTCAAATAGATCTAAACATTTTTTAAACTTTTTGGTCGCCATATTAGATCCGCCATTTCTAATTTTCAAAACCTACCATTGAATTCAGATTTAGTGACCCCGCAAACCCTCAAGTATTGAGGCCCAAGTAGATCTAAACAATTTTTAAACTTTTTGGTCGCCATATTGGATCCGCCATTTTGAAATTCTTAAATCCAACATCAAATTCAGATTATGCGATCTAAAATACTATTGAACACTCATGAAATTAAAAATTTAATTTGATTTTTTACCTTTTTTTAAAGTGCTTGTATACAGAGTTCACGATGGAAATACTAAAAATTACTTTTTTCAGAAACGGCCCGATGGATTATTATTATTATTATCAGGGAGGTCTCCAGTGTTGAAATCCACAAAAAATCCCATTTCGCAAGACTTTTTATTTGAAGTTAGTTCAAGCCTACCGTGTTTGATGAACAAGAACCCGTATCGAATTATTATACCTGTTTTCATTCTTAGAAATCCTATGATATGCGAGATGTAAAAAACTAAAACGAGTAAGGAGAAAAATTTGTTACGATTTTTGCGTAGAGGGCTGTTACTACTTTTTAAAAAGACTATTTGATGCAAAAATTATGTGAAATTGGAGATATTCTTTTCGGATTTCGTGAATATTTAGCAAAACAGTGCTAATGCAATATAAATATTAGGGTGGCCGTTAAAAACGATATTTTTGAATTTTGTCCATTTCCGGGTCTCATTTTGTCACAAATTGAAAAAAATTAGATACGTATTTTATTTTTTTTTAAATTAATATTTAGTGGTGCCTGTAGGCTTGTGAAACTTTGCATGTATTTTGCATGGGAAAAAAACTTTTTTTCGTAGATTTCCTGTAAAATCGTTGAAAATTAATATTTTTTGGCCGGACTACTCTGTTTCTCTTCATAAATGTTCAAAGAATAATATAAAATTTTTAACAAATGAAATTTGTTAACCCTTTAACGCCCAAATGGACAAAATTTTGGCATGAAGTTTGAGGACTTATTTCGGTACTTAAAAATCAATAGAAAAATTCACGAATCATCATTTCTTATGTTTTCATATGCGCTCTATCGAATGGCGTTAAAAAAAGTCAAAAATATATAAACAAAAAAGTTATTAATGTTTTTTATTAAAAAAGTCCGATTTTTTTCCAATTTTTGTTTAATTTTAAATTTTTTCTACTATGAAATAGCGTAAAAATAATTCTAAATGTTACAAATAACGTGACATAGATATGTAACCTGGAAGATAGGACTATAGAGAAAAATAAAAATTAAAATGGCGGCTCAAAAATGGAGTTTGAAGTTCAAATTTTTTTCAAAATTTGATTCGAAAGTACGAAATTGTTAAAAGTGTTTAGATCAGCTTGAAATTTGTTACTCGGGGGTTTAAGAAGTCGCTGATCACGAATCTGAAGTGCAATTTTAAAAATTCAAAATGGCGGATCCAATATGGCGGACAATTTTTTTTTGAAACTCATTAAATTTGCTTGAAACATGTTACTCGGGGGTTTTTAGGGTCGCTGATTATGAATCTGAAATTCAATTTTCAAAATTTAAAATGGCGGATCTAAGATGGCAGGCAATTTTTCTAAAAAATCATTAGATTCGCTTGAAACTTGTTACTCGGGGGTTTTTGGAGTCGCTTACTCCGAATATAATATCCAATTTTTAAAATTAAACATGGCCGCTTCAATATGACAGACGAATTTTCAGTTGAAATTCGATAATCACGTTTTTTAGCCATTAAAATATTTAAAATATTTTTAATGTTTCCCATCTTTCACCACGTGGGCGTGGAGGTAAACGTGAACTAAAAAGTCTTTTTTTTATTTTTAAATTTTATATATTTTTTTTACTTTTTTCTTTTTTGTCTTCTTTCATTTTTTATGTATTTTTCTTCTTTTTATTTGTTATCATAATTTTTGAATTTAAAAGTCAAAAATGGAAATGTATATGTTTTATTTTAATCATTACTTATTTCAGGGTCAAATTGAAAAAACAATTTTTTTATCTCCAGCTTGTAGCTCTTATAAAACCTTTCAAAAATAATTATTCCCAGTTTTAATTCGATTAATTTTACCTATCAAACCTATATATATATACAGTAAGAATACCTAACTATGCATCAGTCCACGAGTGCGAAGAGGACACTCTTATGCGGCGTTCAATGTTCGCTCACTCGCACTCACGCTTAGGGGTGATTCATAGTTAGATACTCTTACTGTATATATATATATATATATATATATATATATATATATATATATATATATATATATATATATATATATATATATATATATATATATATATATATATATATATATATATATATATATATATGTTTGTACAACGCATAGTTTGGGACACCCGAATTTTTCAGCGTCTATGGCTTCGTAGAGTCTCCAGTAGCACCCCCATAAAGTTTTTTTTGATAGATATTTATAAATAAACAATTTAGAGGGAAAAAACCATAAGACCACATACTTTGAGGACATGAGTCACATAGCATACTTTAAGGACGTCCCTAAACTATGCTATAGATCTAGTAAAAAGTTTACGACGGTCTGGTCTTCAAACTATGCGTTAGACATTTACGCTGTTCATATATATGTCGTAGGCGAAAAGGAAAATTCGTCGTTTAGCTTAATGCCTAGGCTTTAAGCTAAACGCGGGCGAATAGGAAAATGTTCAAATAAATGACAATTATTTTTTTAACGCCTGAATTCGTTAGTCATTTTGCTTAATGCCTAGGCTTTAAGCTAAACGCCCAAAGAGCGCCAGGCGAATAGAAAAATTTGTATCGATTGATCAAGAATAAACATTGTAATGAAATTTCAATTATTAATAATATTATATTGGAGGTATTTTGAATTCAAAATCGTTTCTAATTTTTTGTTTATGAGTCTGTTTATTTTCTTTGCTTTTAAATATTCTTAGTTGAAACTACATTTTAAATTTAATTTTATAGAATATTCAAAATTATATTTAGTCTCAAACAGTTTCCTCCATTAACAATCGGTAATTGCGTAACTTTGGTGGTACCTGATGTTGATCGTGGCCCGTTAGATTTTTCTATGATTGAAGGCGTCGTAATAGACATTAAAAACGATGTTTACCAAATTGGTACAAAAAATGGCATTATTAAAGGTTGGTTTTCGCGAACTGATATATCGCAATCAGGTACTGAAATTCTAAAAATTGACGAAGTTTATACAAATGTCACTCTGACTTTAAGAGAAGCTGCATCACATCAATCTATGTGCGGCGGACAGGGATTTAAAAAATGTTACTGTAAGGCGGCTAAAAATCAATCCAAGACAAATAGGTGCTCTTACTTAAAATTAAAAATAATTTGCAGTTCGCGATGCCACCAAAGTTTAACTTGCTGCAATAAATAAATTGTTATTTTTTTCCTTTTCAGTTGACTTCAATTAATTACAATAAATTATTGCAATTTTGTGAAAAATATGTTTGTCTTTAATTTGGATTTTTTCTATTATATTACTAATTGAAATTTCATTTCATTGTTTATTCTTGATCAATCGATACAAATTTTTCTATTCGTCTGGCGCTCTTTG